AGTTTCTGCCCTACTTGCTCCCAGTCTCTGCCGTCTTAAAGGTCCATTTCAAAGTCTCTGGTTTTTTTGTTTGTTTTTGTTTCTCCATTTTAAAGGAAAGCACCAAGGATGACCCTTGGAGAGTGAAAAGAGGTCAAAGGCAGGGTCCCCCAAAGCTGGAATCCCATATCACACCATCTGCATAAGCCATTCAGGAAGGCCCTTAGGAGGGAAGAAACTACTAATCTATTCTGAATCACAATTCCTCCGTTTTTTGCTGGGGACCAATAAAGTATTTCTTTTCCTCTCCTGCCCCACTATTACCTTTCTCCTAATCTCAGGGATGCAGCACTCCACCTTGCTTGTGGCGGAAGAGCAAAGTATGGGTAGGTGGACAAGGAAATAGACACTCTGATTTTGCTTTGATTTCTGTCTCAAGTCCTATAATAATAGATCTCATCCCAATGCAATATGTTTGGGAAATATAGTTAAAAGGAATATATCTTGTTTGTAAGGTGCATTTTAAGTGTTGACTAAAAGTAAATACTAGAATAGAAGAACTGTTTAATATAATATTTTAAAACCCTCTTTAGTATTCGATGGCATCTGTGACCTGCTAAAATCTAATTATTTCTCTAATACTCTGTGGAATTGTTCAGAAAGATGTGGTACAGTTTCTAACTGGTGCATTAAGCATCTGGCCTGACTTCACAGGATCCCAGATAGCTGAATGTGCACTCTATGTTTTATTAACATTGCAGAGGCTCATGCTTAGATGCAGTACTGATGTGCCCTGACATGCATCACTACCTGTTAACAGAAAAGGGGGGGGCTAGACTCAAGGGTCTATAGACAGAAAAAATCCTTCAAAGATGTTTTGGCTACTTTAACAGAAATGCTGGCAAAAAAGAAAGGAAGAAAAGAGAAAGAGAGAGAGAGAGAGAGAGGGAGAGAGAAAGTTGAGAGAAACAGAGTAGCTTCAAGTCTATACATTTATAAAACACACCTAGGTTTCAAGTTTCAGTACACTAAATCCTTGGAAATGACCATCTCTAAAATCCCCTGCTTCCTTCTTCAATGTAAAGGCCTCTGTCTTCTTTGGGGTGTGCCCCTCTGTTTCTAGAAGGGTCCACTTCAAGTACAGCCCCTAGGGGGAGAGTAGTTCATCAGTTTATGTCCCATCTTTATACAATAGCTTCTGGAGTGAGAATCTATTTAAATGAGGGTGTAGAGCTTCTAGGAAGAGGTTTCCCCTCCCTTGAACACTGTGGGAACGGAGAAGGGAAGGAGTATGTATACTGGTGATGCTTAAAAGGAAAGCCAGGGCTCCCAAGCCCCCCCCCACCCCACTGTATATAGCTTAAGGAGTCTGCTGACACTGCAAAAGCCACAACAGAAAGCAGAGAAAACTGCATCTGCTGCTGACAAGCGACTCTCAAGCTTTACCTGAAGCCATTTGGTATATATGTTTGACCTCATCACATAAGCCCATCCATTCCAGCTGTTGACTGAGCAGTGCAGCTAGGCTTTCAGTGGCTTGCAATCCAAAGAGTCTCAACTGATAGCAACCAGGTCAATATGTTTACCATACCAAAGCCAGAGCTACCTTTTCTTCCCCCAGCACTGTAAAGACTTTATTCTCATCCACAGCCTCAAGGGACAATAGACCATCGGCAATGTTTCTAACTTAAATAGACTTTGATGTGTCCTAAGATTTAATCTCAAAACATCACTTGTGGAGGTGGTTTGGGATTATCTCTAGTTGTAGTGTCTCTTACAAGGTATTTAGGGAGTATTCGTGATGAGGATGAATGAGATAGCCTAAGCATAGGCAAGTTCGGAGACCTGGATCAAATGATCCCTTGTGTAATCATGAGTGATTTCAGCTTTACTTGGGACGTAGTAAAAGTGATCTGCAAGAGGGTTGGGAAATTTGTTTTGATTTTTCTATGTGAATACACCTGATTCCAAATGTAATGTCCCCTAATTTTGATAAAGGAATACCTACCTCCTCACACAGAGAAAAACACAAACTCCTCTGATGGTGCAAATTCCAACAGTCCTGGGGCTCTAAACCAGGTTATCAAAGTGGCTCATTTCCAAGCTGGTTGTTCCCTTTCTCAGGAACAATGTTAGAATCATGGACCACCTTACACAACACAAAGAAATGCAAAATAACAACAAATACCTTTTACCCAAAAGTCTTCTAGGGCTCAACTAGGCTGGAAATCCTGGGAACTTGAAGCCTTGTGATATAAGAAGACAGGAAACAAATAATCCCCTGCCTCCACTGCACTTGTATCCTCCGCCTATAGAACAACTCCAAAGAGAAATGTGAAAACAGTGGCAAAAAACATGTTATTGGCCCTGTGCTTCCACCACTGAGTAATACTTTTTATTTTACCACATGCCCAAATGCGCCCCTCCCCCCATCTTTGTAAGAGCAGCTATCATTTTGCTGGGCAGTTACTATGAGTCATGCTCTGAGCTAATAAACTCAGAAACATTAAATGATTTGTCAATAGTCATGTGGCAAAGCCCTTGAGAGAGCTCAGATCAAGGGAAGACTCTGGAGCCCATATGCTTAGACTCAGCTGCCCTCCACACCACACACATACTTTGAGTCCTTCCTGCTGTGAGACTCCAGTCCCCACCCTTCACATAGCAGCCTAGATGGTGTCATAAGGAAAGCTGCTTAGTCTCCCCCTCCTTCAGCTCCGGCAACCACCCCTTTCTTGTTAGCCTCCTTTGGAATACATAGCAGGAAAGCAATCTGGAGGAACTCTTGGCATTTCAACCTTGCTAGAGGTGGTAGGTACAGCAAGTTGTCAAGGGTGCACACATTAAAGCGAGTCTACTTAAAACTAGCAGAATTTCAGGTGTCTGATAATAGCAGGAATTGGATACCCCCACCCACTTCTGTGCTGGCCCCGGAGAATATATATGTCTGGGACTTGTGAGAGTGCTCAGCCTGAAGACTGGAGTTTGAACTCTGGCACTCACATGATAGAAGGAGAAAACTGATTCCTGCAAGTTGCCTTCTGACCTCCACACTTACATAGTGATGTGCATATATTCTCCTACCCATCCCCCCACAAACAATTAATGTAATTTAAATCTGAAAGAGTATATATGTTTGTAAAAGGGAAGATGACATTGAAGGCAGGATAGATTACATTTTTGGCAATCTCTTGCATGCTGCAACATTTTAATTCACAGCTTGTTGGGGGGGGTCAGAATACAAAATTGGTATTCAATAAATTCTTGCTGCCTTTATTTCCCATGAGATGAAACCAAAGCACAGAGCAGGTAATATGAAGTCACATGACAAATTGCAGCCTAGGGAATGCAATCCCCAGAGCACCCAGCTCCCAGACCAGCCTGCTTTGCTTTAGATACCTATAACCCAAATTGCCCATTTATCTTTCGTTTCTGTTGAAGGCTTTCAGGCAGCTGAATGGAGACAGAACTGATTAAATATGGATATAAGCCCACAGGAATTTGGTCAGGCAAAAAATTTCCTTTTTAAATAGAGTCAGCTCTCTTCTGAAAATGGCTTCTAGAAAGAACTATTTCAAGAAATAATTTAAACCAGGTGTTTGATTTGCAGTAACTGAAAACAACCCACCTATTCCTGAGAGATTATCAGTTAGTTCTACTTTCCTTTTCTCCAAAAAATGCAGCAGCCACCTCGGAGTTTAACCTGCACTACTCAATACTTCTAAGAAACTGGCTTTTCAATAGATGTTAAAATGCTAAAAATCTTACTTTCATTCAATGGGTCAGTCCTCAGAAGTCAGCAAAAGAGCAACCATTGAACAATAGGTGTCAGAACATCTATTATCAAGGGTTCACTTCACCTTCCACCCTGATAGCACCCATTCGTGGAGGGGATTTCAAAAGGTCAAACAGCTGCCAAACAAACACATGCATAAACTAAAGGTAGCTAATGAAGAGAAAATAACCACATACTCCTGAGACAGACACCTAGCCTTCAGAGATAAACAAAATTTCCTAGAAAGGACACAGCCATGAACTTGCAATAAAGAAATTAAAGGAAACATCCATTTGGGTAAATACAGAAACAAGATCCTTCACTTAAATTCATTTCCTTAGGGGGAAACTCACAAGTCCAAAGTAATTCCAAACCCAGCAGCAAGAAACCGATGAACAAGTTATACCTGGAAATTACAGTCTTAAAATCCTGTTAATGAGGCAGAGAAATCTCCAAATTAAAATAATTTAATCCTGGCAGAACTATCTCTAACAGATATTCTAGGATGGTGATGTCTGTCTGAACCCATGCTTGTGGCAGCCAAAAAAGAAAAAAAAAAAAAAAAGTAAGAAAAACATTCTATACTCTTAAACCTTTTTTATTTTCGGGGGATCTCTTAAATGTAAGTGACTATGTCGACTTGGTTCTAAAGTAGGGGTATGCACTTAGACACACATGTAAGTGGTCTCTGCAGTAATACATGAAGCCTGCTTCATTATGTAAAAGTGTACATGAAAGGAAAAGCCTTCCTACTTCCCGTTAAGACTGCTTTCATCAATATTGTTATCTTTCTCCTATTCCTATGTCCTTTCTGCTAAGTAAATCATATGTGGACCCACGTTCTATTCATTTACCAAATAAATATTAGTTATATAGTTATAACATGATTGTAACATAATGAAAACATCTGAATTTCGTTAACTTATTTTCAGTTCAGATAGCTTGGACACAAGACACCTGTTCCTCTCTCGTGATCTTACAAATATCCTTCTCGCATGCGTGTGTGTGTGTGTTTTCTGAGTATGCTACCACTACCTCGTAGTAGTAAACTTTAGGGAACACCGAGAGTCTGAGGCACAGCCTACAAACCAAATGGCATCTTGGCTTTGGCAAGCTGAGAGGCTCATTTTGGCTTCTCTCACCCCCCCTAGCGTTGGCAAAGCTCATCTGTCTGATTATCCAGTTACCTCACTGAACAAGAGCTGGGCTAAGTCCTGCCCACCTATGACATCACCCCCTTCCTCAACCACTGCGAGGTGAAGCTTTAAACTTCAGACTTGGAGGTGGGCTGCACGCAGTCAACTGGATGCTCTCGCGCGCAGTCCTCAGCACCGGAGTGATCTGAAGCAGGACGGACCGGCTCAGGCTGCAGCTGCTGTGGCTTTGTGTGCACTGGATGCCGCGCTCCGCAGACGGGGGAGGGTTTTTACTTCAACTCACAGGCAATGGAATTACAGCTGTAGCAGCAGGGTATAAAGGATTGCTTTTTTTCTCGTCTTCCTGGTAAGTGTTTTCCATGCTTTTTCTTACCATTGTCCCAGAAACTTCGCTTGCTGTTACTCTCTAGAAAAAAAGGACTTGCTGGGTTCCGTGAGGAATCCAAGTAGCCACGTTTGCTCCGTCAGCAGGACAAGCAAAGATGTGCGTGCAAGGCAGCTAGGGAAAGTCTGCCTACATAGCCAAATGTGAGAAGTTTCTTACAGCCTACAGCATTAATGGTGATGATCCCCTCTGTTTCAAGCAATTGCTAATAACACAAAGCTTTACGGGAAACTGCAAGTTGGAAAGTTGAGTGTTTGAGATAGAATAGGAGGCAGATTTTTTTCCCCCTGTACAAAAGCGAAAGGTCGCTAACTCGGTGTGTACTGCATGTGTGGTATGATCACCTATTGCTGTTTTTATAACTGTGAAAGAAAATCAATAATTCCTCAGCCCATGAGTACGCAGTCCATGAAAAGCATACATCTTGCTCACAGCCAGCAAGCTGCCCTGGGAGAACAAGATCCCTCTGTAGAGGATTAACAGCTACACCTAGATCTGAAAGCGTGCACTGCTTATCCTACCACAGCTCCTTCAGGCATTTGAAGCTCGGGAATCTCAACTGGTAAATTCAACTCGGAGTCTCGGGCCAAACCATATTCCCAGTCCAGGAGAACGCCAAAATCCATTGCTTGGGCAAGTGTAGAATGTGATTAGCATAGTAACTGGGTAAGTCCACTCAGAAAAACTAACAAAGATCACCCTGGAAGACTGTGCTTGATGTAAGCAGTGAGGGTAGCAGGAAAGCCTGGGGTCATCATCAAATGGCAAAGGCTGAGTGTCCATTCACTTGCAACTCGAAGTGGGAAATCTTATATTGGAACAAATGCATGAGGAGTACAAAGCTTCCAAAAGGTATTTAGATGTATGTGCTTAAAAAAAAAAAAAAGTAAAAGAAAAAAAAAAAACGGTTTTTCAGTAAATTATCTCTGAAACAAAATGGTCGCATAAAAGTAAAGAGTGCAACAGGCCCGTCTTTTCTCAACATTGGGAGGGGGCTTATTTGTTTAGACTTAAAAGGCAATAAAAAATGTTGGTGATTTTCAATTACAAATTCAAATGGGTTTTAATAATTATTTTAATTGTTCTCAGTAAACCTATGCCTCAAAATGCACACATTGGCTATGTGATTAGGATGAAACACCATAATTAAAGCCATGAAAAGTGCTTTAGCTGTAGTGATTCCTTCATTCATTGCTAACTGCATAAGAATATCCTGACCAGCATAAACAGAAAAGGATAAACCTCTCCACTCTCAGGCTAGAATCACTTAAGCTTGACTCAGAGTGACAGGTGACTGACACCCATATCTTCAGAAATGAGTAAAGAAATTAATCCTTTATAAGTATCACAAAATATTATCACTACAAATATTAACAATCTTATTATGTTATGACTATGCAAAGATTAGTTATCGACTTAGCTTTAAATATATGTGTATGTGGATATATGAAAATCTGTATACTTGTCAGCCCCAAAAAAGAAAAGGGTTAAGCATGTCATTACATATGTTTAACTAAAAAAAAAAAAAAAATCAGTTTATTCTTTTAATAGAGAATTCCCAAGGGTCAGAAAAGATATTATCAAATGAGTAAACATAATGAATTCATTAATAGGATATTCCAATAGTAGCATTGATTGGTTATTAATTGGGCTTTTTGTTTCTCTGCATAAAATTGATTCTGGTTAGGTTCAAATGTCCAATTAAACAATTCCTGAATCTAATGTTTATGAGATACATAACTGGGAAGGAAGCAAATGAAGTTTTTTTCAAAAATTAAAAAAAAAATTATAAAATAAAACTGAAAATGTGTCATAACCAAATGTGGCAGCTAATAGAAGCTATGTTTCTTTTGCTTTCAAGTGTTAATTAAGGAGTCTCTGATTCTATCAAAACTTTTCAGAACTAAATGAAGCGGTGTGAAATAAATTTGGTTGAAATCTTGTGGCTGTCAGACTTTGTTAGAGAGCTATTAATTATCTTTACCCCAGTTTTTTCTCTGGCTATATTGCCCAATCAAATAGAAACTCCAATTATACTCAGCGTCTCCTGCCTAGGGACACAAGACCCTAATGAACAGTCAGTCCCTCCAGATGAAAACTACAATTATCAGCTTTAACCCTGCAAGTGAAAGCAATGCAGATTTCCTCCTGTGTTTTGCTTGGCCACACATCCCAAGGCTTTCTCCTCTATCTTGGCTATTTTGAACAGTTTTAAACCCAACAAATGTTAGTGACTGAAGGTATGTCTATTTTAATATTATATGAGTGTTTCTTTTTGTGTATGTGTGTTAGTTATGATAGATCGATGTTCATATGGATATTAAAATAAATCTGGTCATTTAAAATATTTAGTTTAGAGTTGCCATTTCAGTTGGTCTCAACCCTCTTCCCTTTTAAAGGTGGGTGGGCTACATAACAAAGAACATGATTAATGGCAAAATCTAAAGCTAACTTAAAAATTCTCAATAAGCCCTTGCTACATTCTCTTATTCATACCAGTTCGGTAAAAGGCATTATAAATAGTTGTTTCGTGTCAAATGAAGAGCACCATAAATAAGGCAAGGAGGGAAATCGGATTCAGTGAATTTTCAAAAGCCTTGATTCCTCCCCCTTCGTCCCTCCTTCCCCATGCTTCCCACCCCCACCTTTTGCCCCAGAGGCCTTCACTGTTCTTCTCAACGGGAGGCTTTGTAGTAATTAAACCAGGGAAAGACTGGCCAGCAGCAGCCAACATCTGACTTGCGGCTTCTGCAAGCAGTGTTCTGGTAGAGTGTACCACCCCCAAGCGGGCAAAACTCAACAGTAAATCTCTCAGCAATATCCGCGCTCAGAATGGCATTCTCTCTTCGTGGCAGAAAAGGGGATGTTTCTTGGCTTCTTCTAACATACCACCGCTACAGGTTTTCCAAAAGTCACAAACCGATTTCCAACCAAGAGGTGGTTGGTTAGTAAACTGTTTGCCAGGAAAGGGAACATCCATTAAAAACAAAACAGGGATATTCTTTTCACAATGTACTTTCGAAATGCTGAACAACATTACTAAATTTATCTAAGCATCAGAATGATACAGAGTTTTGAAAGCCACCTTATACTGCAGAAGAGGGACCTTTCCAGACTTAAGTTTTATTCATTAAGAAGAATCCACAGAATAGATTTAAGGTGAAAGGCACAAAATGTAATTTAGTCAATAGGCAACATGTTTTTGCTTTGCAAATGCATAATCTCTCTCCCACCCCAAAATGAAGTGTCAGGAATGCAAACAGCTCTTCCCAGGTATTAGTCTACTCAATGGAGGAGAGTAAGAAATTGCTTTTCCCTTGATGAGACAATGACAGCTTTTGTTCTTTAGCTTTGCATGCACAAGTTGCCCTGGCAACTTTGAAGAGAACACCCGCAGACCACATTTGGTTAAGCACCACTTTCTAAAGTGTGCCACTGGAGTATAGATTGATCAGCTCTATGTGTTGTTAGTTTCCTTCCCATTCATGCAGTTTACATCAATAAGTACCTTACTCAGACATAAAGGAGCAATGTGTTTCATGATTTTAGATGGTTTCACTAAGCAGAACAGAGGCCGTCACACAATTGACTCAAATAAATAGCTGTCGAACTAGTGCATGGAAATTGAAAGGCTAGAAATGTAAAGCAAGTTGGACTCACACACTGGAAGAGGAACTTTAGGTTTGCAGTCAGTGTTTCTCGTGTAATACAGGCAGGTATCACTTTTCAGCTGCACAGATGTCAGTATGAACGTAAAGCATGCCCTGGGCCCCAAACACTGTGCCATTGAGCCTCACTCTCAGTTGCCCCTTCCTTCATCCAGGTCTTAGGTCTCTAACACATTTAGTCTGGCTTGAACATCATGAAAGGAAGAGCCTGTGGTGTGATAAAAGGTAACACCCCATCTTTTTGTCTTAAAGATGCTTCATTTCACTTTACAAACAAACTAAATGAAGCGAAGGCAGAATTAAGATTCATTTGCAACAAACTCAGTGGGGAAATCCTGTTGCTTTGGAACTTTCTATCCTGTTTTCTATAAATAAAACCTTCTTCATGTCAGGGAAGAGACTGGACAAAACCAAGTGTGAAAAGGCACGCTTGCTTCCCCGCCTCTCGGCAAACCCTGCAAATTTCAGGACTCTCAGGAGGAGAGTAAGAGGTCCTTCTTCCGCTTGCCTGCATTAAACAAAGGAATTGGAACCTTCCTGAAATCTGATGATTGTGGAAAATGTAACCACCAGACAGGATGCTTAGAAAGCGTTTTGCTGTCTGTCTAAACTAACCTGATAAGAGTCCAGTTTCCCACTTTCACCATGTATATGGTTTACTTGAAATACAGATTCTTGTTGCAGAGTCTTAACATTCACAGTTTGTTCATTAGGAATGACTTCCCCAAGATGCTAGATGCCGCTCATGTACATTCCAGTTTAGCTAGAAACATTCACAAACATGGACAGATTTACTTAAGCACGTGTTTTCTTCAGTATCAAGGTTTTACTTAAAATAATGCAACTAACTTTGTGAATTCTAAATGCCATCTTATTTTTGAAATTAATATTTTAAAAAAGTTTCTTCTATTAAGAAAGCATTCTGTGAGGCAAATCAATAAAACAGAACTCAAATCTCACAACATTAACTTGACATTGACTTTCTTTAAGGTGTATTGATCAAACAAGTTAAGACACAATCAGCTTGAGTGAAAGGTGGCAAATACAAGGTTTAGGAAGTTATCATTATCATCACATACCTTTAATTTAAGCTAAATTATATCCTTAAAAATCTAAGAAATACCTTGTTATTCAAATGCTTTCTCCACTAGACGAAATCATGCAAACATGTACATTGCATCAAGTTCTTGATTTTACTTAAATGTCAGGGTCTTATTGAGAAACGATTTATTAATACTTATTAGTTTTATAAAGTAATTCCAAAGAATAACATCTTTATTTGTGTACTTTCTTTGATATATTTTAAAGATAAGTTATAGACTTTAGATTGAGTTAAGGTTATAAACAATTTAATTTTTTTTAATTTTGAAAACTAATCAAAAGATGACATTTAAAAATCTATTTCACGAGTAAGGAGAGGGTGCTTTTCCTTTAGCCGAGGTTTATGTGTTACATGCTTAATGCTTCCATTAAAATAATTTTAGAACATATTAGTAAGTATCAGAGACCTGCTTATGTTTTTCACCAAGTTACCTCAGTAGCAATATTTTTCTAGAGTATTTATTGCTTTCTTTTCAGAAGTGATGACCTTTTTCAAGTCCATGCAACAGAAGGCTCAGAAGCCAGTGTTCTGGAGCTGACCATAGTGTCCCTAACAATGCTGGTCATTTTGTTTTCATCATTCACATTCAGCTACAAGGTCAATGACTGTGACTATGGGGTATCCAGCTCAGAAACTAAGTGTAGACATGGGAGTTGGATTGCTTATGATAGAGAGATCATTTTAACTTTAAATATACCAAATTCCCTATTTAGCACTACAGTTTGAAATATGAAGAGGGTATAAAATCATATAAAATGCAATGAACAGTTTTGACCTGAAAGTGGTAGAGGCAGGTGAGAGGACCTATATGCAGAATGTCCATTCGTAAAACTATGATTTCTAAGAAAACATTTGTTTTTATGTTTTTCTTTTTAGTTTTAATGAAATCTGGGGAGAAGTAAATGACATTCTTCTCATGATTTAGTGAGGCTGAAGGTTTTTTTGTCAATTCACACTGTTTGCACATTTGTATCAGGTGCAGATGCTGAGTTTGCATATCAAATCTCAGTGATAAGAATTTCATAAGTGTAAAACAGGTAAAATGAATTAAGCTGTATTTTCACGTTAATATGTTTTTTTCCACCTCTGGTTAAAAACAATGAGGATCAATGCATATATTCTTAAAGCCCAGTTTGGTAAAATAGATATGAAAAATTTCTTTCTTTCTATTCTTTTTTCAAAGCAGCTACTGTAGCTATTTTATCCCCAGTTCTCATAAATATCACACTGTGGTTTGTCCTGACTCAGAACAAACAGCCATTTTCAAATCCCATTCAATAGATTCATCATCTGACCTCTAAAGTATGCCTTGCCTTACCAGTGCCCCTGAAGCATAAGAACTACTGGACAATTGGTCATTTCACACAGGTCCTCACTTGTTATTTTCATTAAAATTAATTTTTAATGCAAGTTAACTGAAGTGATTTTCTCCAAGATTTAAAATATCATTATTTTATGCTGGATCATTTTCAAGGTTAGAAAACATTTACTGCAAAAGTAACTTTCTAGTTATAATTTTGGTAGCTTGTTTTTCCCACACGAACACACTTAGAAGGCAACATTTTATAAGCAAATACACTGTTGAAATCTAGTAGTGATGTGAAAAGCCCTCACATTAAACATAAGCCATTTAAACTTTCCTCTATGAGCACTTTGCTGTATTCACAAGTCTGCTTAATCTATCTGTCAACTGCCATTTTGGTTACTTCAATTAAAAAAAAATGTGTACTTGCTATTTTCAAGTTTGTTTACTGTTAATATAATCTATGACAGCATAGTATCTAGTGACAAATTAAAAGAAAGGGGAATCTCACAACAAAATATAGAAATGTGAATTGTGGCCTTGGTTAACACATATTCCCAGTAAATTCTGGAACAGATGCTATCTTTGTTGGATGCCAGGTAGTAACTGGCAGAAAAGCAAAATGACTCCTTTAGTCCTGAATCTCATGGTCAAATATTCCCACGTACCCAAATGTTCTCTCTATACAAGGAGGGGCTAAATGGTGATCCTGAGTAACCCATTCTTACACTGCTCCCCTTGTCCAACCCCCTAAAATTCCTCATCAGCGTTCTATCGGGAAAATGGGCAAACCAGTCAACAGCTCAATGACTGGTCATTTTAATTAAGCCTAAAGTCCTTTTTCAGAAATGAAATCTACACATTATAGAGGCTGGCATGTTCATGTTTAAACCAAAAAAAAGAGATGCCTTGGGTTGACCTTCCTAACTGACCACTGTAACTTGATGGAATAAAACAATGACCTTCCTACTTAAAATATAGATTTTCTTTTTGGAAGTTCAGTGGTCTAAAAGAACTCTTTTTAAAAAACCACAGTTTAAAAGTCCTAACTATGACTTGAACTTACATGCTCCCATATAAAGAACACAAGTCCTAGAATTTGCAGGTACAGGGGAGTCCTGTTACACCCCCAGTAGAAAAGTGAGGGTGCCCACATTCTTCAGGTAGGAAAATGGAACCACCAGACTGAGCACCAAGCAAATTAAGAGAAGAGCTCACTGCAATGCCTTTTTAATATTTTACATGTAGATTGTATGGGTTATAAATCCATATTCAGAAAACACAGAGTAATTACAGTGCTTTAATAAAAACCCTTCGCCATATATTTGCTCCTGTCTTTGGCATGGTCTTCTTTTAAAACACTGTTTGCCAGGGCATCAGGCAGAATGTTTTGAGTCGTTAGCCTGAATCTAAAATCCCTGCAAGGGTCTTACTGCTTCTTAAATGAAATTTTGCTCCTATGTTTGATTCAGTGTGATTACTAATAATCACTTAACATCCACTTATCAGTTGGATGACAATCTCATCTTTGGCTCCAACTTACTTTATATAGTTAAATGGTAAACACAAGCACAAGGTCAGTCTACCACTTCTACCAGCTGTTATGATGAAAGATGTCTTGGTTAAAAGAAATAATTGATGTTAAACAACTAGAAAATTCCTCTAGGATGCTAATTTTCACTATTAATAATATTACTTTTTGTTTTCTTTCACAGGAGGTGTTCAGTCCTGGCCTATTTTAAGGAAAAGAAATATAAAGGAAATTTATATTCTCTTTCCATGAAGACTATTTGCATTGTTTCCTTTGCTTCTTAAAAGAGACTTCACCATCCCAGTGGAACGTGACTGAAACAGAGTTTCTGAGAAGAAGAAATAGCTATTTCACAGCAGGTAATCACACCTCAGAATGTAGCTACTGTACAGAGTTTATACTTGGATAATCCTGGATGGGAATAAGGGTAGGGGGTTACTGCCTGGAAAACCCATTACTACACAGGTCTTAGCATCATGAATGGCTTTCTTCATGAGGATCTGAAGTTACTATCTCTGTTCACATTGCACAGAAGAGCCAGTAAGAATTTCAAAGAGGGCAGTTTCCACTGAGGGACTTAAGCACCACAAAGGAACAACCACATTGAAACTATCAGAGAGAAAAAAAATTAGGAAGCCATGTGTCCTACATAGTAACCAGAAGCTGAATTGTTTCTGGCCCCCACATTCATGAGCTTGCTGAGCCATGCTGAACCACAGCTGGAATGTTCATTGGTAGCAGCAAGCCTGACCTGGAGGTGTGTTCAGCATAAGATTACTTGAATAAACAGTGAAGAACATTTCCAAGGACTAAAGAGTTTTAAAGCCCCAGCCCCTCATCAAGAAAGTAACCCATGTGCATTGGACTGTCACCCATGTAAAAATTATTTAACGTCGTTCAATAAGGTAGGAAAAAAATTAAGCTATTTTACTTTCATACCTAAAATTATAAAGGCTGATTAATACCTAGAAGTGGAGAAGGGAACAACACATAGTCTATCCACATAAATCTATAATTTCCCAGCCCATGAAGAAACTTGAAACATTCTAACTTAGAATGTAAAGACAGATGAATGCACTATTAAAACATGTTGAGACTGAAAATAACAAAAGCAAGTTATTAAAGCATACAGTATAAGATGTACAAAGTACACACAGAAATAGACATTTCTGTACTTTTATGGTCATTTGCCAAAGGAGGCAGAAAACACTGGCATATATATTATATTTAGTTATAACAAATTATATTCCTCTAAGTCAATTTCTATGAATACTAAAAAGTTGGAAATTTGATAATCTTCATGACTAGCTGAATCTGATATAAATTATAATTTAAAACATTTTTGATTGTTTAATTATGCTTAATATTTTAAATAAAATGGATTTAAACATGATAGCTGTAAATTTATATTCTAGAAACACTCAAGTTAAATACATTATATGAGTATGTTTGTAGATAGCAATGAATTCCTGGCATGCTCATCTCTAAAAATTAAAATACTGACATTTGCTATAGATGATTTCATTTCCACTTCTGTTCTTAAGACACTTCAGTATTCTGGCCTAATTATTTTCTATTATTTCTTACTCTGTTGTAGTAATAGAAGCTACCTGCTATAAAGACCTCAACACTGCTGACCATGATCAGCCCAGCCTGGAGCCTCTTTCTCATCGGGACTAAAATTGGGCTGTTCTTCCAAGTGGCACCTCTGTCAGTTATGGCTAAATCCTGTCCATCTGTGTGTCGCTGTGACGCCGGTTTCATTTACTGTAATGATCGCTCTCTGACATCCATTCCAATGGGAATTCCGGAGGATGCTACAACACTCTACCTTCAGAACAACCAAATAAACAATGTTGGGATTCCTTCAGATTTGAAAAACTTGCTGAAAGTACAAAGAATATATCTATACCACAACAGTTTGGATGAATTTCCCACCAACCTTCCAAAGTATGTGAAAGAGTTACATTTGCAAGAGAATAACATAAGAACTATCACGTATGATTCACTTTCAAAAATTCCATATCTGGAAGAGTTACACTTGGATGATAACTCAGTGTCAGCTGTTAGCATCGAAGAGGGAGCATTTCGAGACAGCAACTATCTGCGACTGCTTTTTCTGTCCCGCAACCACCTTAGCACAATTCCCGGGGGCTTGCCCAGGACTATAGAAGAGTTACGCCTGGATGACAATCGCATATCAACTATCTCTTCACCGTCCCTTCATGGTCTCACAAGCCTGAAACGCCTGGTTTTAGATGGAAACTTGTTGAACAACCATGGTTTGGGTGACAAAGTTTTCTTCAACTTAGTAAACTTAACAGAACTGTCCCTGGTGCGGAATTCCTTGACAGCCGCACCAGTGAACCTTCCAGGCACAAGCCTGAGGAAGCTTTACCTTCAAGACAACCACATCAACCGGGTACCCCCAAATGCTTTTTCTTATTTAAGGCAGCTGTATCGACTCGATATGTCCAATAATAACCTAAGCAATTTACCTCAGGGTATCTTTGATGATTTGGACAATATAACCCAACTGATACTTCGCAACAACCCCTGGTATTGTGGGTGCAAGATGAAATGGGTACGAGACTGGCTACAGTCACTACCTGTGAAGGTCAATGTGCGTGGGCTCATGTGCCAAGCTCCAGAAAAGGTTCGTGGGATGGCTATCAAGGACCTCAGTGCAGAATTGTTTGATTGTAAGGACAGTGGGATTGTGAGCACCATTCAGATAACCACGGCAATACCTAACACAGCATATCCTGCTCAAGGACAGTGGCCAGCTCCTGTGACCAAACAACCAGATATTAAAAACCCCAAGCTCATTAAGGATCAGAGAACTACAGGCAGCCCGTCTCGAAAAACCATTTTAATTACTGTGAAGTCTGTCACCTCTGACACGATCCATATCTCCTGGAGACTTGCTCTGCCTATGACTGCTCTAAGACTCAGCTGGCTTAAACTGGGCCACAGCCCAGCATTTGGATCTATAACAGAAACAATAGTAACAGGAGAGCGCAGCGAATACTTGGTCACAGCCCTAGAACCTGACTCACCCTATAGAGTATGCATGGTTCCCATGGAAACCAGTAACCTTTACCTGTTTGATGAAACCCCTGTTTGTATTGAGACTGAAACTGCCCCTCTTCGAATGTACAACCCCACAACCACCCTCAATCGAGAGCAAGAAAAAGAACCTTACAAAAATCCGAATTTACCTTTGGCGGCTATCATTGGTGGGGCTGTGGCCCTGGTGACCATCGCCCTCCTTGCTTTGGTGTGTTGGTATGTGCATAGGAACGGGTCACTGTTCTCCCGGAACTGTGCATACAACAAAGGGAGGAGAAGAAAGGACGACTATGCAGAAGCTGGCACTAAGAAGGACAACTCTATCCTGGAAATCAGGGAAACGTCTTTTCAGATGCTACCCATAAGCAATGAACCCATCTCCAAGGAGGAGTTTGTAATACACACCATATTTCCTCCGAATGGGATGAATCTGTACAAAAACAACCACAGTGAGAGCAGTAGTAACCGAAGCTACAGAGACAGTGGGATTCCAGACTCAGACCACTCACACTCATGATGCAGGAGGTCCCATGCCAGACTGCTTCAGGGTTTGTAAACCTAAGAAAGGCGATAGTGGGAACTCTGTACTACTGCAAAACACTGGAAAAAGAAACTGAGAAAAGCAATGTACTGTACATTTGCCATATAATTTATATTTAAGAACTTTTTATTAAAAGTTTCAGATTTCAGGTTGCTGCTGCGGTTGATGTAGTAGAGATGCCTGAACACAATTCTATATTTTAGTATTTTTTAGTAATTTGTACTGTATTTTCCTTGCAGATATTGAAGTTATAAACCATTTACTTTGTGTTCTACTGAGTAAGATGACTTGTTGACTGTGAAAGTGAATTTTCTTGCTGTGTTGAACAATCAGGACTGCGTTCACATGAGATCCTTGTAGTATAAGCACAGGCCGTTTTTCACTTTGGTAAATATAATGTTAAAAAAAAAAAAAAAGAAGAAGAAGAAACCTGGCTGAATGAGAAAATAAATTTCAAAAACTAGTTATGAAATAATGTTCCAATGATTAAATTTGTATTATCCCAGTGATATTCAATAAATCGAAATATGTGACATAATGGGCAATATCAAACTTGCTGAACATCTCATTTTACCCTAGGCAAATTAAATATCTGTAGGAAAGTTAAGCATGTTTTGTGAACTGAGTACATCAGCTGCCATAGAAACAATGAGAAACAATGTGAAGCCGGCTATTAAAGGCACAGTCAGCAGAGCTTCAAGAATTAAGGGACTTCACAAGAACAGTGATGTATGTGCAGGAGGGTGTGTACTTAAAAAAAAACCACTACAACTTAGACTTATGTAGTGCAATCAATACATTTACTAGAACTGCATCTTGGTTTTGCCTGTACCTTCGAGACTCTTGAAAAAAAAAAATGAATCCTAAATACAGAGTTGTTAGTGTTTATGCTGTTTTTATTGCAAAGGATGCTTAAGCAAAATGTCTGTGTAGTTAAGAAGGTAGTGAATCCATCAGCAGCAATTCCTCTCAGTGATCCAGAGAAAGTAGTACTGTAAGCAAGTGAGAATTTCAAAGAAAAATAAACACTAGAAATCAAATTTAGATCTGGCTTATATGAGATGCTTTAACACTGTACATAAATATTCAATTTATTTTCACAATGGTGGAGAATACTGCCCATTACTGTCACAGTTTTCCAGATATTACATAATGGACTTGTAATGTAACATTTCTTTACAGCTTCCTACTGAATTGTGAGCTATAACTTGTTTAAAAAACCATACCACATTTTGTTGCCATGAATTTTTTTTTCAACAACAACAACAAAAAAAAAAAAAACCAAAGTGCATTGTACGCCCTTTGGCCAGTCTTGTATGTGCCTTGATTAAACGCTACATGTATTCAGCTTTTGAAACTCGACAAATTTTTCATACTTCCTTAGATATGAAAAATTATGGTCTTATTGCTGAATAAAACTTAAGAAAAACACACAGAATAATTGTGCTTGTTTGGGGGACTATGTTACTATCACAAAAAGTAGGAAATTGACAGCACGTTAGTTCTAAACACCTCCATGTATTTTTCTAGGCATAAAAATAAAAGTTGGGTACATATAAAAGAAGTAGAAGGATTTTCCTTAAAAAGAGTCAGTGTTTGGTGGATAAATACATTTTTTGGTTCCATTATACACTCGGTTGATGAAGAACTTAAGAGTGGTTCCAATGCCTTTTCCCTTTTATGAGCACAGTTGCCATTATCTGGGCTGTTACTTTTTAAGATGGTCTTTCAAGAGCTGAATTGTCTTTTAAATTTCCTTTTGAGAGAGTGAGTTGGCATCAAAAGATCTGAAATTGGCTCTCTACCCCTTAATAGGCACAGTGTCGAACCTTGTGGTTCAACTCTGTCTGTCTGTATAGAGTACTGAAACAGAAGCACAGGGGACACCATGAGGTTTAGAGGAGCCTGCGTGATGAGTGCTCACAGACTCTGGCACAGCCTCTCTTTCTACTGTTCTGGTCAAGAAAATCTAGAGTGCTCCCAGGGTTTGCTAGACACCACTGCTCCCCACTGATCCACAAACAACTCGGAAACCTTACTTCTTATTTACTTGACATCATCAAAATGTTAACCCAACCATTTATCTTTTGACTGCCTGATATAGAGGACATTCATTTTCTATGAATGACTGAAAAGTACACTTAACAACACTATGGGAAACATGTTCTGAAGGAAGTTTGACTTAGCTACCCAGAGTTTTGAGAGGTTCAACTACAGTTCTGCTAAAGTCAGAGAAAGAACTATGAAGTTTATGAAGTCCCAATAAACCTATAAAAAGTGAAAAATGTATTATATCAACTATTTTCCAATTAGTAAAACTTGGAGAAGCATAGAAAATTTTATGTATGTTTTAGTATACCCCTTCTTATTATTTCATCTAAAACAAATCCAAACATGTATATATAAAAAATACACAGCACCAAGTAGATAAAAGCTTACTATTCACTTAGCTTCAGCCTCTGCCTTCAGCCTCCGCCTTCAAAGGAAAGAGATTAACAAAGTATACATGCACTTTTAAAAGTCCTGTATGAAATGTTCATCCATTTATTTTGCTAGTAAAACTAAGTTCTGAAATAATAGTAACAAAGTAATTTTAAACATGAATATATAGACTATATAGATTTAACAAGAATATAACTTAGAGAGCTAGAAAAAATTATAATGAAAAAAATCACTCCCTTATCAAATATTTGCTAAAAATATCAGAAATTGCTGTTAGATGCATTAACTTATAACTGCATGAAATAAATGTACTAACTCTGCCTCCCCACTAAGTACAACACTGCCTGTCAGTAGGCTGACTTATTAAAAGTATTACTCCTGGGTCAGCGGAACTAGTGAAAAACAACGCTCTCCTCAGCACAGTTTCTGACTAAAGCACATTTTATGGCTTGATGCAGCAGGACAGTGCCATGAGGGATCTCTATAGGTCTGTCAATGCTCTAAAGTCCCTTAGAGGGTGGATATTGAAGGAACCCATCCATTGCTGAATTATTTTAATATGAGCTCAACTGTTCTTGAAAACAATAGTGATAGTCAACATTCCTTTCTCCTGCTTAGCATGATTAGTAAATGTTAATTTAGCACACTTGTAAAATTATAACTACTGTACCTTTTGGCTGGAGATTTATGGTTCAATTAGAAAACAAAACAAAACAACAACAAAAAAAGGTAATTAATGCTTGACCACTTTAAGAATGTAAAAGTATTCTACAACCTAATGCCTCTTATTGAGTAGCTTCTATATTATGAACAAAGACTGATGTCAAGTGTGCTGCTTATAGTAAAAGATTCACAATGTAAAAGAAATGTATTATTTCTTCAGTATAGAAAGAACAGCAATTACGTATTTGAATAGATCAGATAAGGCTTTGTGAAGAATGTAAAACTAGGGCTGGGGATTGAAATAATGTAACAAGAAAGGGAGAAAAGCAGGCATTTGCCATGGGAGGAAAGTGACGAACAATATCAAAGAGAGGAAATAGTCAAGAGCCCTGAGCCCTTGCATGGGTCAGAATCAAGTGGGAATGATTTTATTTAGACAACCATGCCTCAGGGCAGACTGACTGAATTAAGATTTCCCAGGTGAAGGTGGTGTGGGTAAGGACTGCAGTCAGTGATTTAAGATGTATTTGGAGAAAAGCTAAAGTGTAGAGAAAATGCGGTCTGTAAAGGAGGTCGACGGAGTCTGGATTTTGCTTTTGCTGTTGCTTTCTGCTTATTGGATGGTTAGTTTATTATGTCGGGCTTTGTGAGGTATTGAATTTCAAGTTATGCTGTGATAGTTTGGGGCCATGTTTTATTTTTTTTTTAATTTAATTTATTATTTTACATGTCGATCCCAGTTCCCTCTCCGTCCCTCCCTCCCTCCCTCACTTTTACCCTCTCTGCCCTTTCACATGCACCCTAACCACCCTCCCCTCCCATCCCCCCACCCCAATTCCATATGTAGGGGAATGCCATCCAGTTGGGGTCATGTAGATCTGACAAGTCATGTGAAGTAGGGACTAGGGCTTCTCTCCTGTCTCTAGGTTAAGGCAGTATCCCTCCATGGGGGATGTGTTTGCAAGGTCTTTTTGTGCACCAGGGATACATCCTGGCTCCACTGTCTGAGGTCCCTTAGACTGCTCAGTCCTTCTTGGGGCCATGGTTTTTAAGCAAGCATGTAAAAAGCCAATGCAGTTGAAGAACACTGGATGAAAATAGAGGATACTGCAGATGAATGGGGGAAAACTACGAACAGACACATTGGTACAACATACCGGAGCAGGGTGAAAATAGAGGTTTAATAAGAAAGACAGCAGAGTACAATGCAGTAAATGACAGAGTGTTCAGCACAAGTCAATAAAATATTGGTAAGAAAGTTCAGGAAGATGGAAGACAATCTTGGTGATGAGATTTTTTTTTCAGGACTTTTGTGTCTGTTGGTCTTGAATGACTGATTATGCACAGCACAGGTTTGTCTTCTGATTATTAATATTGTTCTCTTTAACCCTCAAGAGCAGCTCAGATGATCAATTAAAATCACCTTAAGTCCCAAGTATTTTTATATAAGTGCTTTGGTGATATTTGTAAGAGGTAAGACAATGAGGACAAGAGACAAAAATGGCCAGCATTGGGAAAGGAAGTCTATTTGGTGACAGGTTGCTACTGAAGTTGAGAGGGTAGATGAGATAGCCCACAGGAAGAGAGCAGAGATACAAGAGGTAAGTCAAAGGAAACATCTCCTTTTCTGTAAGGATGGAAAAGGGAACATAATTAAGCCAAGTAGTAAACAAAGGAAAAAAGGGAAGCCAGGAAAGTGGCTCAGTGGATAAGAATACTTACTTTGCAAGCATGAGGACCTGAGCTCAAATCTCTAGCAGCCATGTAAAAATCATGGTATGGATGCATGTGCCTGTCACAGAAGCACTGGGATAGAGACTCGTAAATTCCAGATCTCAGAGCTCCCTGACTAGCCAGATTAGTCAAAATGACAAGCTTCTGTTTCAGTGAGAGGCCTTCTTAAAGGAACAAGGCTGAACAGGTATGGAGGAAGACACCCAACACCTTCCTCCAGCCTCCACATCCAAGTGCACAGGGGCAAGCACCTTCATATTCACTAGCATGCACAACACCCACATAAAACACAAGTCACACACATACACCGTAACCTCCCCCCCCCCACACACAGAAGAAATAGAGAAGGAGAAAAGAAAGAAGAAGCATTACAGAGAAGAAAAATAACCATGGGAAGATAACATAAAGCCTAGGAACCAGAATTATCTTAAAGAGGATGTATATAATGTAACTATGACACCACGATATTAGAAGAGACTACTGAATATGGGAAAAGAGCCTGTCCTTCCCCCAAGTACCAAAGCAATGTTTGCAGAGTAATGGCCCACAGGCCTCTGGGGTATTAACAAATTAATGAGAGATGAAGAAAATAAAAACAATAATTAAGATAACTCTTCTAAATAGAGAGAGTGAAGGGGTTTTGGTAGGTCAGTGGGAGGGCAAGATGGATTTTTTTTTTAAGGGAATCAAATGTAAGTAAAGAGATTTGTTGAGCTTAGGAAGAGGGAACAGAGATGTAGAGACGAGAATTTACACTGAGTAGAAGTGAATAGAAAAGAAAATTAGAAGTTCAAGAGTTGGGACCCAAGTCATGGATGTGACTTAGATTAGGTACAAGGTCATGATGGAGAAACTGCAGTCTGGGGAAGAGTCTGGGAAGGACCAAGTCAGTCACTCAAAGCAATAATGTCAACGTTTGAAATGCTCAATCTGAAGATGAGGATATGTCCCAAAGATAAAGAGAATGCAGAAGGTAATGGAATTAGGTAAGGCTCGGATATCAAAACAACAAATGATGACAAAAACAGATTATTTGAGATTCTGGAAAACCTCTTTAATATAAGCCGTCTACATTCCACACTCTAGTGTCATTACACAGTGTAGTGAGAGATGCAGCAGATAACAGAGAAGGTGTTATCCTCAGGGAACAGATGTCAATTAGTCAAGGCTGGAGAAAGAATGTTAAGAAAAATTTCAGTCACCTGGGAAACTAGACCACCCCCCCAAAGAAAAAGAAAGAAAGAAAGAAAGAAAAAGAAAGATTGACATGGACCCAGCGGAAGCAGGCAGGAGAAAGGCTAGACAGGAACCAAGAAGGAGAGTTGAGCTGGGCAGTGTCTGCGGCAGGGGATCAGTTACAAAGGAACCAGCATTCCCGACAGAGGATTCAAGTAAGAAAGTTGATCTCACTCTATTTTGTGAACATCAGAACAGGATTAAATCCAACTTCATTCCAAACTCCACACAGAAGTATTTATACCCACAAAAACTTTCATGGGCTTTCCCACAAGTGTCATGGGATTCTGGCTAAAGGCTTACGTGAATCACGTGTGTGTTCCCATTCCCTACTTTTACATTATACAGGCACCATG